TCTAAGAATATGTATGTATTATTATTTATTTTTTTTACTGTTTTCAAGGCTGCACTTTATAAAAATGAAATTGTCTGGAGACAGTTCTTGACGAAATTTCTTTTTGTTTACATTCGTGTACACAAAATGACAAAATAAATCTGTCTAAGTCTAAATAAAATCATTAGCATCCCGCTAGTTACACCAACAAAACACGAGGAACACATGTGAAGCTCACCGGACGATAAACAGTCAAAGTGCGCGTTACATTTCCATCCTTCGACCGATGTGTGAATGCAAAACCTGTCCTGGTTAATGCTTACTCGTTATTTTGTCTATAGCCTTGAAAATACATAAACAACCCTGCAAGAGAAGCAACAGGGAAGTCTTCTTCTTCTCCTCCTTGTAGTGTTTTTCTGGCGCTACAGGCAAGTCTTCCTTGTAATCTTCTTCGGTGAAAACACTTGTTTGACAAAAACACGCGCCCCATCTGGTGGCAGCAGCGGGAAGTGTAAAAAAAAATCATGGGCCATGTCTCGATTCTCACCCCCAGCATGTTCTAATAAGAAAAAGAGAAATACTAAATCACTAATTGTTTTTACTTACATTATCAATGACGAGGATTTAGTTTTTTGTAATATTCGTCGTATTAGTTTATTCCAGTAAATAACTCAGAGGCAACTTATTGACTTTGTGTTTAGTTGTAATATAATCCACTCATTTCTCTTATTACTTGATTTACTTTAAAATGTCAAATGCTCAATCCACATTAAAGATTAAAGGATTGTATCCATTTCTGTTAGATAGATTCTATTTATTTATTTATAATGCTCAGTAATTTTGTTTATTATTTAAATAATTTATGTTTCTCCGTATTTTATAAAGACAGTACTTCCTCCTCCAAAGTTTTACTTCTGATATTTGATTAGGAAATTCTTGATTGCATTTAAATGTGATAAAGGGCTGAAAGCGCGACAACACAGCAAGAACACAAAATGTTAACAAAGAATGAAAACATTAAAAAAATTTATTTAAATGGGAAATTAATCCAATGAGTAAATAACAAAAAAAATATTTATATTGATCAGTTCAATGTTACATAATGCAAATGGACAAATAAATGCAGAAATAGTTAGATAAAGATATATTTTAATTGAATGCCAAATAATTGTTGTTTGCTATGCTGCAGTACATTATTACATAAAGAAGTCCTTTGTTAAACTGAGTCTAATATCTAGTTTGTTAATATGATCAGCAATGCAATTGCAGAGTGATCATGTCTATAGAACTTATAGGCTAGTATGTTCACATTGCAGGCCTTAATGTTTAATTCTGTTTTTTGTATGTGTGTGTGTGTGTGAAATCTGATTGTTTTGCATGATCGTTCACATTTCCAAATATATGCAACAACGCGACTTGTGCGTGATCTCAAGTGTAAACTGCATTTTTCAGGTTTACCTGCATTTGGGTCACTTCAGTCTGCAATGTGAACATAGCCTTAGTCCTGCTCACAGACTTTTAGTGGGCAAAGATGATCCATAAAATAGAGTTAAGGGCAAAAGAGCCATGATTCATACATAAGATATAAGAATAAATATATATAATATATATGATATAAGAATGAAATAACATAAGGATCACATTATATATAAATCACATTTACATTTTACAATGCTGCTCAGTATCAGATTACAATTATTGCACATGACTGTGTTATTGCACACTGAAAATAAGGAAATAAAATAAATAATAGTAATAAAATGAAGTGACTGTCAGAGAGATGAGTTATACAGATTGGTGGCCACGGGCAGGAATTAATTCCTATTACTTTTATTATTATATTATATTACTTTTACCCTACAAAGAACATTTAAATGCACTAAACCATTTGCACTACCATCCATTTGCATTGAACTAAAACGTTCAAATTAGTTCAATATTCAGCAAGTTAAAGTTGATTACAATTGATTCTGTGCCTGCTTAACACAGTCCACCGAGCGGAGCAGTCGACCGCCCCAAGATGGCACCACCCATAGGTGAAAGCCGTCGATGCGTGGTCCACTCTCGCATATAAATATATATATATATATATATATATATATATATATATATATATATATATATATATATATATGTTCCAAGAAGAGGAGATTGAGGCTACTGACATCA